ATGCCTGTGTTTGATGACCTGTAAGGCCTTTGCCAGTCCTAAAGGGCTGTGCGCTCTGGCAGCAGGAGTGTTTAATGCGGAGAAGGTGAAGGGGGGGCGCTCACATATGAACGTCAGAGATACAAGATATACGACTGTCGGCAGTTGGAGGGATGCTGACCAGCTGTTCTCTTTTGACTGAGCACAGGGCATGAGGCACACCTTCATTGTCCCAGATGTGGCATTTGGAAGACTTTTCCAGCTTGGGGAAGGGGTCCTGTGCTATCAGAGCAGGCGATGGAGCTGCACGCTCCCAGTTCACTAACGCAGACAGTAGACTATTTTTCTGGCCCTCGACTCAAATGTGAGTTCATCAGACAGGCCTTGCCCGGCTCCCTGGTCTAGCATAGATGGCTCCTCCCCTGTTCTTTCACACTCCACTGTGCTGCTTTCCTCCATAGCAATCCACATGTGCATCTCAGCTTGTATTTGACCTTTAATGCCTGTCTGTTAATTTCCTTATTTAATCTATTTGAAAGGCAGAGAGATGAACAGATTTGCATCTGCTGTTTCACTCCTTAAATGCCTGCAACAGCTGGGACTGGGCCAGGTCAAACTGGGAATCTGGAACTCAATCTGGCTTTTCCATGTAGGTGGTGGGGGGCCCAAGTACTTGAGCCATCACCTGCTGCCTCCCCGGGTGAACATTAGCAGGAAGCTGGATTGAAGGCAGAGCTAGGACTTGAACCCAAGCACTGTGAAATGGGAGGCTGGCATCCCAAGTGGCATCTTAACCTCTGTGCCCAACACCTACCTCTAATTTTGGTCTCTCTACACTGCAGGCTGCCTAAATGTGCCATCGTCTTTACTTAGTTCACCTCCTTTGCACCTCATCCTGGCACAGCGTCTGTTACATGACAGGTGCCTGGTAACTATTGGTTGAATGGCTAGCTGGCTGACTGGGTTTCCAAGGTGGCTGATGTGGTGGAAGTACTTTTTGATGGAGGCAGATCCTTTGCTCTACTTTTGTGTTAAGAAAAATCCCAGGGGCCGGTGCCGCGGCTCACTAGGCTAATCCTCTGCCTAGCGGCGCTGGCACACCGGGTTCTAGTCCTGGTCGGGGCGCTGGATTCTGTCCCGGTTGCCCCTCTTCCAGGCCAGCTCTCTGCTGTGGCCAGGGAGTGCAGTGGAGGATGGCCCAAGTGCTTGGGCCCTGCACCCCATGGGAGACCAGGAGAAGCACCTGGCTCCTGCCTTTGGATCAGCGCGGTGCGCCGGCCACAGCACGCTGGCCACAGCGCCATTGGAGGGTGAACCAACGGCAAAGGAAGACCTTTCTCTCTGTCTCTCTCTCACTGTCCACTCTGCCTGTCAAAAAAAAAAAAAAAAAAAAAACAAGGCCGGCGCCACGGCTCACTAGGCTAATCTTCCGCCTTGCGGCGCCGGCATACCGGGTTCTAGTCCTGGTCGGGGTGCCGGATTCTGTCCCGGTTACCCCTCTTCCAGGCCAGCTCTCTGCTGTGGCCAGGGAGTGCAGTGGAGGATGGCCCAAGTGCTTGGGCCCTGCACCCCATGGGAGACCAGGAGAAGCAACTGGCTCCTGCCATGGGATCAGCGCGGTGCGCCAGCTGCAGCACGCCGGCCGCGGCGGCCATTGGAGGGTGAACCAACGGCAAAGGAAGACCTTTCTCTCTGTCTCTCTCTCTCACTGTCCACTCTGCCTGTCAAAAAAAAAAAAAAAAAAAATCCCAGATACCTTGGCTCCCAAGGAGCATCAGGTGCTGTTTCTCCTTCCCACCCTCTTTCCTGGAGGGCAGTTACCCAGGGCTGTTTGTTTCTTCAGCTTGAATTGGACACTTGGGGGACCCCCTTCATGGCCCGGTCAGCCTGTGTGCTGTGGTTTGCATGTGGTTTGTTGCCCCCAGAGCTCCTGTATTGGAGGCTTGGTCCTCTCTATGGTGAGTGAGAGGCGAGACCTGGCGGGAGGCCCGTGGGTCCTTGTGGGGCTGCCCTGGGAAGAGGTAAGTGTAGTTGTTAGGGGACCCTGAGTTACAGCTGCAGAGTGCGCATTGTTATAAAGGCTTGAGCCTGAGCCTCAGCCTGAGTTGCTCCCTGGCCTGGCTGATGGGATCTTCCCTCCTGCACATGCTCCTGCCTCCAGGATGCCATCTGCCATGAGGCCTTCCCCAGAGCTGAGCAAGAGCCGGCACCATGCCCTTGAACCTCTGGGACCGTGAGCCATGCCAGCCTCTTTTCTTTGTAAAGTTACCCAGCCTGCGTATTTCATCATAGGAACGGAAAACAGACTGGATTTGTTCCTGGTGCAAGAAGCTGGAAGGGCAGGTAACGCTCCACTGGAGTCCGACGGAAGCCCAGTGGAGCAAGGCTTGGTGGTGCTGCCTGTCTGCGTTTGCCCCTCCAGATCCACACTTGTGTCCAGGAGTGTGACCTCTGTACCCACGAGGCTCTTGTGTCCTCTGGCTTCCTGTTGAGGGTGGCCAACAGGAGAGGGCTCAGCAGGAAGGTGGAGGATGTGGGGAGACAGCGGTGGGCCAGGCGCCCTTTCCCTTGGTTTCCTGGCCTCAGGGCTCCTGTGCTGCGAGGCCCAGCCCCTGTCTGGGGCTCTGCTGCGGTGCCGTCTCCACGTTCCTGCAAGCACTCTCCCAGCAGTGATGGCTCCCCACTGCCAAGTGTGCCAGGATGCTTCACCAGACCTGCTGGACCCCTAATCCCACCTACACCCAACGCTCAGTTCTCCCCTAGGGGAGGCTCATCTGCCCCCCAACTCATTCCCAGCCCCCCTCTGCAGCATTTTCTTGCACCCATCTTACCTGAGACAGTGGTGCTGCCCACACATCTCATGGCGAAGGTTGGGGACCTCTCCCCTTAGGTGGGTGTGAGGTGTAGGATCAGAAAAGACGGAGCAAAATCAAAATACGACCACTTGTACTTTAGGTTTCTGTTTTTTTATTTTTATTTTTTAAATTTATTATTTTATTTGAAAGAATTGCAGAGAGAGAGAAACAGAGAAAGAGAGGGGGAGAGAGAGAGAGAGAGAGAGAGAGATATCTTTCATCTGCTGGTTCACTCCCCAATCGCCACAATAACTGGGACTGGGCCAAGCCAAAGCCAGGAGCCAGGAGCTTCTTACAGGTCTCCCATGTGGGTGCAGGGGCCCAAGCACTTGGTCCATCTTCAGCTGCTTTCACAGGCCATCAGCAGGGAGCTGGATCGGCAATGGAGCAGCTGAGACTCGAGCTGGCACCACCCATGTGAGATGCAGCCGTTGCGGGCGGCAACTTTACCTGCTACACCACAGCACTGGCCTGGGTTTCTGTTTTTAACTAGAAAAGTAATGCCACCTCTGTTAAGTTGGGAGTTTGGGGGACACTTGAGGAAGGAGTTCAGCTTCTCTCTCTGGTCTCTCTCGTGGGCAGAGCTGGCTCCTGTCACCCCTGTTCAGTTGGCTTAGTGGCCTCAAGCCCCAGTTGATGGTGACATTCCTGGTGCAGTTCCCACTCTGCTTGTCTCCCCGTGCTGGGCCCTGCAGCCCTCTTCCTGCTGGGCTGGGTCCTGCCGGGCTTTGGACCTCGCTCTCTGTTTCCCCCCAGCTTTTGGAACGGCCGCTTCCCCAGTGAGCTGATGAGAACGGCCTCTCTGAGGTGGAAGTAGCTTTTCTTGGAGCTACTGGAGCTGGGTAGCCGGCATGGCCAAGGAGAGGTCATGGGGGTTACGAGACAAGAGTGAGGGTGGAGGAGAGAGCAGGCAAGTTGAGGCCAATGGCGGCGAACTGCTGTAGGGTTTTCTGTCGCTCCCCCTCTTCGTGGAGGAACGACACTAAACCCTGCGCTGTTCTTTCGTCTGCTCGGCCCTCCCCGGGTTTGCTGCTGGTTCTTCCCGGGTTGGCTACTATCCCTTCCACCTCCGTGGAAGGGCAGTTCCCCCTGGCCACATTCCCCACTTCCGCAGGGGAGCGGCACACCGCCGGCCGGCTTTCTCGGGGGCTGCACAGGTGTTTCTTCAGCTAGATGTTCCCTTTAGATGTTCCTGGTGCATGCCGTCTCTCTCCTCCTTTATAGTCCTCCTCCACCAATCCCAACTCGGCTGCCCACACGCCGAGTACGCTGCTCTCCAATCAGGAGCAAGTCCTACAGTTTATTAGCTGAACTGGAGGCAGCTGTGCAGAAGCTGTTTACTTCTCTCCCAGCGCCATATTGTGGGAGAGCAGATGCATAGAATAAGTCTTAATTCCAGTAACTCAGTCTAGTCCGGATTGCTCCCCACAGTTTTCAAAGCCCTCTGGCCTAAGAGAACACGTTTCTGCTCCCATGGAACCCCTGTAATTCTCACTGTGGAGACGCAAAAAAGGGCTCCAGGATCTTGAGTGCTTTGCCCAAAGTAGTGTGGCCGGAGAGTGGCAGGCAGTCTGGTCCCATGCCCAGCGGGTGCCCTATTTTGCTCTTCTTCAGCTTTCATTGAGGGCATGGGCAAGGTTATGACCTGTCTCTGGGTAGGGGTGGGCGTGGTGGCACAATGAGAGGCCTGCATCCCATATCACAGTGCCTGGGGTTCCCGTATCACAGTGCCCGGGGTGGGATTCCCCCCGCCCCCAGCTTCCTATCCAGCGTCCTGCTCATGTGCACCCTGGGAGGCAGCAGATGATGGCTCAGGTACTTGGATCCCTGCTACCCAGGGAAACCTGGATGGAGTTCTGGTTTCTGGCTTCTACCTGGCCTGGAACTAACCTGGCTGTTGTGAGCATTTAGGGAGGGTATCAGGAGACTGAAGACAGATTTCTCTTCCTGCCCTCTGTCTCTCTGCCTTTCAAGTAGATAAAAACACATTAATTAATATTTTAAAAATAAGGGAGTGTGTCCCTGAGATCATGAAACAGAGATGGATTTCCGTGTTCCTGTTCCAGCAGGAGGAGAGGGCAGAAGCCACCCCGAGCCGCACCCAGGAGCCCTGCTCCCTGCGTGCTGTCCCGTCGCCTGACCTGCTTTTGCGTCTCTGTTTTTCAGAAGTGGAGCTGCCTCTGAAGAAGGATGGCTTCACCTCGGAGAGCACCACGCTGGAGGCCCTGCTCCGGGGGGAGGGGGTGGAGAAGAAGGTGGATGCCCGAGAAGAGGAGAGCATCCAGGAAATCCAGGTGTGTTTGCGGGTGTGGGGCCACCCAGGGCACCCCGCTGTGCTGCCTCCCAGAGCTTGGCATCGCGTCTGGGTCCTCCTTACCAGGGCCCGGCTGTACCTCAAAACACCCACGGCCAAGAGGTTTGCAGGTGCTCTTCGGGTTTAACACGTGCCCAGAAGAAGCCGTTGTTGCCCTCAGATCCGTTCCTGTCCCCGATTCCCTGCTTCTCCATTCAAAATGGAATGGATGAATGAATGAATGGTTGTTTGCCCTTTCACTGAGAACCAACTTGGGTGTTTAAATATTTATTTGAAAGGCAGAGCAACAAGAGAGAGAGAGATGGAGAGAGCAAGATCTTCCATCAGCCAGGTCTCTCCCCAGGTTGGCTGCAACAGCCTGAGCTGGGCCAGGCTGGAGCCAGGATCAGGAACTCCCATCTGGTCTTCCATGTGGGTGGCAGAGGTCGGTGCCACGGGCAGCAGCTTAACCTGCTGCAGCACTACACTGGCCCCCAAATGTATGTATTTTAGGAATATAGTTATTTTTTATTTATTTGAAAGGCATAGACAGAGAGAGAGGTAGAGAGACAGACAGACAAAGTGATTTTCCATCTGCTGGTTACTCCCCAGATGTTTGCAACAGCTGGGATCCCAGAACTCAATCCGCATCTTCTACCTGGGTGGCAGGGATGCAACCCCTTGAGCCATCCCCTCTGCCTCCCAGGGTGGCGTTAGCAGGAAGCTGGATCCGAAACAGAGCTGGAACTCAGTCCCAGGCGCTGTGATGCAGGATGAAGGCACCCCAAACTGCCTTCAAGCACCCACCCCAAAAATGTACCTCCTGAGGCTACTGAGCACTGGGGGCCGTGCTAAGTCCTAGGGACAGGATGGTGAACCAAACACATGGGTCCTTGTCCCTGTGGAGGGAACAGTCTACCTTCTGGGCCTGAAACTAGTCCCCAGCAGGTGCCCGTCTCGCCGCTGCTCCTCTTCCTCTGCCTCAGCTCCAGCTCCCTGGACTTCTCAGTCCTTTCTCAACACCACCCGCACACCCTCCCCGGCCTGCAGGCAGGGTGCTCCCTCAGCTCCCGCAGGTCCACCCTCCCTCTGCACACAGCACAGGCTTGTATAGGGTTCCCACATTCCTTCTTTGCCATTTATCAAACAATGCTTGGCTTGGAGTATTGTAATAATAGTCATCAATACTAACATTAAACAATAGTATTAATAAGTAAACACAATTAAATTATTAAAATTAAATTGTATGAACATGAGATTTATGCCATGCTTTGAATTTGTATGTTTGTGCTATAATATCGAATATTTATAAATTTCATCCCCAATTTTAATATTTAAATTGAATTAATTCACCATCACTTATTGCCATTGTAATTACATTATTACTAATTGTACGTTTTTGGTTTACTTAACAAGTACCACCGGTCAGTGAGATTCATCACACCAGGGATTCTGCTGTTGCTCTCCCCACTGTGTCCACGGGGCCTGGCTCGCCCCGGCACGGGGTTGGGTGTGGATGAGTTAGCGACTCTGGCGTCCTCTGGGCCATTCCCCTGTTCAGGTTGAGTTCCTGCCATTGAGTGCCCACGACCGGGCTTATAATTGTTTTGCTCTCCTGAGCTCCGTGACTGCAGCTCATGAAGATACTCATGACCTGTAACCTTCATTGGTCTGACAGACCTTGCAGCCATCTTTGCCTCCCATCTTTCCTCCCATCCAGCATCCCATTCCTCAGGAATCCCATTGGCTGTGCCGTCAACGTAAATCCAGAACGTACCCCTTCTCCCCCTCTTCCCCGCATCTGCTGCTGCTCCTGGTCCCAGGCCCTCTCGTCTCTTCTCTGAACTGGTGCTTTGCTCTTCTCCAGGATCTCCCTGTTACTCCTGACCCAGAGCCTTTTTAAAAAACATTTTAAAAACTATTTATTATTTTCTGTTTGAAAGATGGGGAGAGAGGTGGAGAGAGAGAGAGAGAGAGAGAGAGAGAGAGAGAGAGAGAGAGAGAGAGATATCTTCAGTTCACTGGTTCACTTTCCAAATGGCTGCACCGGCCTGGGTTGGGCCAGGTGGAAGCCAGGAGCCAGGAGCTTCTTCAGGGTCTCCCACCTGGGTGCAGGGGCCCAAGCACTCAAACCATCCTCCACTGCTTTCCCAGGCTCATTAGCAGGGAGCTGCATTTGAAGTACAGCAGCTAAGACTCAAGCTGGTGCTCACATGGGATGCCCTTGTCACACAGCGGCTTAACCAGCTGCACCACAATGCTGGCCACCCCCCCCCACCCCCTTTTATAGCAGTTTTAGGTTCACAACAAAAATGAGAGGAAGGTACAGAGATTTCCCATATGTTCTCTGCTCCCTGCCTCACCCCATGCATGGACTCCCTGCTTTTCAGAATCGTCCCCCAGAGTGGCACGTTTGTTTCCGCAGATGCACCTGCACGGACATGTCACTGTTGCTGAGTCCCTAGTGAGCATCCAGGTTCACTCTCAGTAGTGTCTGTTCTGTGCTTGGATAGATGCACCTGCCATTGTGGTCTCCTGCAAAATCATTTCATGGCCCTCAGCAGCCTCTGTGCTCCACCTGTGTACCCCTCCCTCCCGCCCTCCTTACCCCTGGCAAGCACTGAGCTTTTCCCAGGCTCCAGTCGTCATGAGGTCAGACTCATGCAGGACTTGGAAGGCCGGCTTCCTTCTCTCAGCAAGAGACATTTAAGGTTCCTCCATGGCTTTTCATGACTTGATAGCTCGTGGCTTGCTTTCTTTTCTTTCTTTCTTTTTCTTTTTTTAAGATTTATTTATTTGAAAGGCAGAGTTACAGAAAGAGAGAGAATCTTCCATCTGCTGGCTCACTCCCCAGATGGTTGCAAAGGCTTAGGGCTGCATCAGGCTGAAACCAGGAGCCAGGAGTTCCATCTGGGTTTCCCATGTGAGTGGCAGGGTCCAAAGCACTTGGGCCATCCTCTGCTACTTTTCCCAGGCAGGGAGCAGGGAGCTGGATTGGAAGTGGAGCAGCTGGGACATGAACCAGTGCCCACGTAGGATGCTGACATCACAGACAGTGGTTTTACCTGCTACGCTGCAACAGTGGCCCCAGCTCATTGCTCTTGAACCCGATCAGGATGTCCCACAGGACAGGGAGGTCTTCAAGATTGAAATTGTTTGCCTGTGCTCAAAACCCTGCTCTGCCGCTGTTGTCTGAGAGGCAGAGTTGAGCTTTCACCTGCCCCCGCTGCCTGCTGGGGTGCGCTCCCCTTTCCCAGGCTACAAAACCTTTGCTTCCATCTCAATAAACCCAAAATGTGAGCGGGACCTTCCAGGGCCTCCCCAGCTGGTTTTCGGGCTGTTTTCCACACGTGTTTCATTCCTTGTGCCTTGTAGCCATGCTTGTGGTCGAGCCATGAGCTGGATCTGGCATGCCCTTCCTTCCACCTCTGTGTGTACAGATTCTACTTGTCTTTTTGTTCAATTCCAATGCCACCTTCCCCACTTCCCCATCAAACCTGAATTTTTTTTAATATTTAAAAATTTTATTTATTTGAAAGGCAGGATGACACAAAGAAAGAGAGACACACACAGAGAAAGCCATCTTCCATTTACTGATTCACTCCCCAAATGACTACAATGGCTGAGACTGGGCCAGGCCAAAGCCAGGAGCCCAGAACTCCATCTCCCACACTGGTTGCAAGGGCCCAACTACTTGGGCCTTGTTCTGCTACTTTCCCAGGCGCTTTAGCAGGGAGTTGGAATCTTTGCTCCAATGTGGATGCAGGTGCCAGCTTAACCCACTGTGCCATAATGCCAGCCCCCATGAAGAGTTTAGGTACTTACTGCCTCCTTCTTGTCTGTACACATATTTTTTTAAGATTATTTTATGTATTTGAAAGAATTACAGAGAGAGGTAGCGAGAGAGAGAGAGAGAGAGAGAGAGAGAGAGGTCATCCACCCGCTGGTTCATTTCCCAAGTGGCTGTAATGGCCAGAACTTGAGCTGATCTGAAGCCAGGAGCCAGGAAATTCTCCTGGTCTCCCATGCGAGTGCAGGGCCCAGCGAGTTGGGCCATCCTCCACCGCTTTCCCAAGCACATTCACAGGGAGCTGGATCAGAAGTGGAGCAGCCAGGACTCAAACCAGTGTCTGTATGGGATACCGGCGCTGCAGCCGGGGCTTTTGTTTTTTAATTTTGAAAACCATGTGTTGTTTTCCCTCCCTCCCTCCCTCTTTCTTTCTTTTTTCTTTTTAAGATTTATTTATTTGAAGGACAGAGTTATGCAGAGGCAGAGAGAGAGAAAGAGAGAGAAAGAGATCTTCCATCTGCTGGTTCACTCCCCAAATGGCCACCATAGCCATTTGGGAGCTAGGCTATCTGAAGCCAGGAGCGGAGCCACGAACTTCTTCCAGGTCTCCTATGCGGGTGCCCAAGGACTTGGGCCATCTTCCACTGCTTTCCCAGGCCATAGCAGAGAGCTGGATTGGAAGAGGAGCAGCTGGGACTTGAACCAGCACCCATAGGGACGCTGGCACTGCAGGCAGCAGCTTTACCCACTATGCCACAGCACCAGCCCCAGGCTGGGGCTTTAACTCTCTGCACCACAGCACCAGCCTCCATATATTTTTAAAAATTACTTTTGCTCTTCTTGTATTACTCTGCCCTTTTTGAAAAAGATTTTTTATTTGAAAGAGTTACAGAGAGAGAGAAAGAGAGGGAGAGAGAGAGATCTTCCATCCTCTGATTCACTCCCCAAATGACCACGATGGCAAGGGCTAGGCCAGGCTATAGCCAGGAGCTCCATTCAGGTCTCCCGCATGGGTGTGGAGGCCCAAGCACTTGGGCCATCTTCTGCTGCTTCTCCAGGCACGTTAGCAGGGAGCTGGATTGGAAGTGGAGCATCTGGGACTTGAACTGGTGCCAACTTGTGCTGACATCACAGGTGGTGGTGGCTATATGAGCTACACAACAATGCTGGCCCCTGGACTTTCAGATTACCATCTCCATGTCACCCTTTGGAGCACGTTTTGCTCTGTTGGTGTCATTTGACAGAATCAATGGACAGGACAGGACCATTCAGAAGCCTGGACACCCTCCACTCACACAGAGCCCTCCTCCTTGAGAGCTGGGATGGGCCCCAGCTCTTCTCCTGCCCCACTCGGTTGTCACCATTACCATCACCGTCACTGTGACTGTGGTGCCATCATGGTCACCATCGTTTGTTCGTCAGCTTTGTGTTCCTACAACAGAATCCCCCTACAGAGAACAGGCTTCCTGAGCTCAGGTTGGGAGGTTCAAGTCCAAGATTGGGTGACTCCGTTGGTTTGGACTCTAATGGATGGGAGCAGGTGGCAGTGACAGGAGAAGGCGACAGAGCTGGTCACTGCCACTCAGGCCAGGAGGCAGAGAGAGCTGGGTGGGCTCCATGCGACCCTCTCACCAGAGCTCAAGAGACCACACCTGAGAACTTCTTTCTGAGCACAGCCCCTAGTGACCTAAGACCTTCCACTGAGCCCCAGCTCCTAAAGCTCCGCCCCCTCCAGTGGCCCCACCCCAGGGCCAAGCCTTGAACACTTCCCCACGTAGGCTGAATGCTGGGTGCAGGGCGAGCGGCTATTGGAAACCAAAACCAGGCCTGGAAGCCTGATGAGTTGACGAGTTGTCATGGGCTTTTCAGTATTAAAGCACACATGTGTAGGAAGTGGACTGTATTTTTTATTCATCTTTTTGCCCCTTCTGGGCAGACACTGGGCTAGGTACTTGGGAAACAGAGAGACTGAGAGAGACCTGTGTGTTCCAGCTGTATTCCAGTGTGACACACGGACTAATAACAAGAAAAAGAACCAATAAAACAACTGCATTTTTGGGTGAATGTCACAAAGAACAATGAGTATAAAGATTCAGTGTAAAAGGAGGGACAGATTCTATGTGGTGTCCTAAGTGAGACAATGAATTTGTTTTTTCCGAAGTCATTTATTTACTTATTTAGGAGATGGAGCGAGTGAGCTCCCACTACTGATTCATTCCCCAAATGCTTACAACAGCCATGGCTGGGCCAGCCTAAACCCAGAACCCAGGCTTCCCACATGGGTATCAGAGACACAGCTGCTTGAGCTATCACCCGCCGTCTCCCAGGGACTGAATTAGCGGGAAGCTGGAATCAGGAGCGGAGCTGGGACTTGAACTCGTCTGTGGGAGGAGCCCGGGGAGGAACTTTCTGGGCAGAGGAGGAGAGTGGGTGGAAACCCTGAGCGAGGGCAGAGCTTGTGCTGAGAGAACAGAGAGCAGGCCTGCACGGCTGGAGCGCAGTGCCGGGGAGGGCTGGGCTCCGGCGGAGCTGGGCAGGACCACGGGGCCAGGCCACACAGGCCCAGCAGGACATGGAAGTGGCTTTGGATTTCATGTGAAGTGCAGAAGGCAGTCATGTGGAGGATCCTCATTGTGGCCATGACTTTCTGTGCCACGTGGGGATCCCCAACTGTGCCTGGGAAGAGAGGCAGGGCTGCGGCGGGGAAGCAGGGACATCGGCTAGGGGTGTTTGCAGTACGGGAGGCCAGAGATCAAGGCATCTTTCGAAAATAATTCTTTGAAGAAGCACAACCACAAGCCACTGTTATCACCGCTGCGAAGGTTGTTTAGAGTAACAGGGAGAGACGAGTGGTTTTAAAACGTCCTTATTTTCCAGATGACCTTGGGCAGGGTGGGCACGTATGTCATGGAGGCTCAGCTGACTGCAGACTCGGGGCACCCCTGTCCTTGGTGCCTCGCACAGGGCTTGGTTAGGAGCTCCTGCCTCCTCCTGGGCTACCAGGGTGACACCGAGAGGTTTCTGGTGTCACAGTCACCTTGCAGGACATGCAGGCGCCCTGGGGTGGGGACACAGACAGGGGGCTCTGGAGTCCCAGTGACGCTGATGGGGCCAGGAAGGGGCGGAGCACTGGAATGACAGAGTTTGGGTCACTCCCGGACAGGGAGGCCATGGGGCACTTTAGGGACAGGCTTAGCTGCTCTGCTCTTGCCTAGCTTTAGCTTTTCCACCCAGAGCCCGTGTCATGCGTTGTAAATACCTTTATTGGGGAAAATGAGAGTGGAGTCCAAATCGTACGTTCCAGAGACAGTGATCTTTAAGTTCCAGTCACTTGGAGCTTACCGTGGTGAAATGACTTGAAGACCCAGGTTAGCGAGACAGCTATGTGAATAGCAGCCACGGGTGCAAGAACTCGGCCTCTGTGCAGGACAGGCACAGAGCGTTCCCCTGTGCTCCCTCTGCAGGTCAGGAAGCCAGGAGGCCTGCCCTGGCCCTGGGTCTACATTTCCTGACCTTGGGGCCAGAGGTCGTGCCCAGCAGACGATGCTACTGCTCTTGCAGAGAGCTGGGGAAGAATCCGCTAGGCGTGTGAGTCCCCTGGAGGACTGGGTGCCGAGCAGCCCCGGGCCTGCACGTGCACGGCAGCAGGACACCCTGGCCAGAAGGCAGGGGCAGGGGGTCGCCCGCGACTCGCTCCTGGGCTTCCTGCTTTGGAGACAGGACAGAAGAGGCTGCCTGCACAGTGATGGGGAAGTCAGGTGTCCATGCAGTGTGTGCTGCTGGCTAAGCTTTCTCGTACCTTGTGTCCTTTTTGCACCGTCACTGCGGGATTATCCTGGGCAGTATAGGTACCCGTGCGTTTTTCTAGCTGCTTCTTAGGCCAGGTCTCCCCGAGGCACTGGGTGCTGGTCACACTGGCCTCTTCTGCTCCTTGGACAGGTCATGATCCTCTCCTGCCTATGGGAGTTTGCCCTGAGCTGTTCTCTGCCTGGAACCTTGCTTCCCCTTCCCTCTACCCCCACTCACCACGCCTGGCTCTCCTCATCCTGCTCGTCCCAACTCCCTCAGGTCAGTGTCCTCAGATGAGCCTTCCCCAACCCACAGATTAGGCCACACTCCCTCCTGACACCCTCCCCCCACCCATGGCATCTTGAACTTGCCTGGTGCTGTTTTTGTGACAGTTGTAGCCACTGCTTCAGTCTTGCCTCCTCCCCTGGATTGTCAAGTCCATCGGGGCCAGGACCGGCCACCGTGCAGTGTTCCTAGCACCTGCCCTGTAGTCAGCTCTGCTACGTTTAGGTGGACTGAAGGAATGAATGGAAGGGAGGCATAGACAGAGGAAGACTTGCCCACGGTCACACAGTGAGACTGTAGAGGAAAGCCCAGGACCCTGGAGTCCAGGAGCGCCACACACTTTCTTATGTTACTCCCACCCCAGGATCAGGAGGGAGGCCCCTCGGGCACGGTCTTTATCCCTTCCTCACACCTGTAGGTACACACCCTGCTCCTGCCCTCCCTGCCTCTGGACGATGTGCCACGCTACTCACAGTTCTCAGCCACAGGCACTGAGCAGGCAGAGGCAAAGTCTGAGCTGATGAACATGAGCTTGCTGTGTCCGTGGCTTCCTTGTGCGATCTTGCCTTTGAGGGTCGAACTCTTTTCAGCCTCAGTCCATGCACCTGTAAAGTGAACATTGCTTCTACACTGCCATGGCCTCACGGGACAGCTGGAGAGAGAGAATTTGAATTCAAGATCTTAAACCTTCCTGGCGAGTCCCATGCTGTAATGAAAATCTGGTTTTTAAAAAGCCCCAGTGGGTTAATGAGTAGCCCATTAATGCTATGCTGTGGTCAGACCAACAAGAAGCCCCCTTGTGTTCCTCAAACAGGGCAAGGTTCCAGGATGGCAGAAGGAAGAGAAACACGATTCTGGGGTGGCCCTTGAGGAGCACAGAGAAACATGACATGAAGGAAGCTTTTGGAGGGCTGATGCTGTGGCGTAGCAGGTTAAAGCCCCAGCCTGCAGCGCTGGCATCTCATGTGGGCGCCAGTTCAAGTCCTGGCTGCTGCGCTTCCAATCCAGCTCCCTGCTGATGCACCTGGGAAAGCAGCAGAGGATGGCCCAAGTGCTTAGGCCCCTGCCACCCATGTGGGAGACCAGGAAGAAGCTGCTAGCTCCTGGCTTCGGATTGGCTCAGCTCTGGTGGTTGTGGCCACTCAGGGAGTGAACCAGCAGAAGGAAGACTTCTCTGTCTTCCTCCCTTTGTAACTCTGCCTTTCAAATAAATAAAATAAATCTTTAAAAAAAAAAAGAGAAGAAGCTTTTGCTAAAACATCTCTGTCCCACCTATAAAAACACCCCTGCTATCATGTTCTCTTGTTGGAAAACTCTCCTTACACACACAGAGGTGGGGAGGTCAGGGTTCTGGGGAGGGCCCGGCTGGACAGGGCCCCACATCTGGAGATACTGGCACCCAGACTCACCAGGGCAGCTGCAGTGTCGTCTTCGCTGAAAGACAGAAGACGGGACGCCCAGCTGCCCCTCTGCCTGGCTTCTCTGCGTTTCCTCAGCTCTCTCGCTGGCTTTCTTGTCATTTTAGAGGGTTTTGGAAAATGATGAGAATGTAGAAGAAGGGAATGAAGAAGAGGATTTAGAAGAGGACATTCCCAAGCGGAAGAACCGGACCCGAGGCCGGGTGAGTAGGGATGGAAAGCGGTGAGGGAGGCGGAGGCCAGGCGGGGTTCTCGGTCCCTGGTGCAGGATCATGTCATGTCTGCCCCGGACAGCACTCAGGGGGAACACTCCAGGAGGGCTCTGATCCCAGGCCGTGGCCTCGCAGAGGGGGAAGAGGCAACAGAGGGTGACCCGAGTGGGTGGTGAGGGCAGGAGCTGGGGTCTGAGAATGTGTGTGTCCCACCCTCGAGCTTGGTCATGAAGGAGGGCTGCGAGTTGCTGCCTCATTGTCCCAGGAGAGCAGGCTCCGCACAGCTGAGTGGGGTGTGCTTCCCTGGACAGAGTGTGGGAGCCGCCGGCCAGGCATGGCGGTCTGGCACACGTGTCGGAGCTTTGTGCTTCTGGAATGGGGCGAAGGAGAGCTCAGAGCCTGGGGAGGGGCAGAAGGGGTGGCTCCAGGGTGGTCCTGGCGGGGATGGAGCCAAGCCCAGGTGGTGCTTCCAGGCACGCAGGCTGGGTTTCCAGGTCCTCTGTGTGTGAGGTCAAAGGGGCTGTCAGGGGTCTCTGGGGGCACAGGACAGTGGCCAGGTGGAGATGGACGTGCAGGGGGAGACTGCTGCTCCCCACCAGAGCATGGCCTCTGGCTCCCTCAGGCTCCAGGCTGCCCCTTCCCCTCCCAGGGAGTAAGAGCTGGGTCCCGCGTGCTTGCTCCTAGGGTTTGCGTTCTGTGATGATGATGGCAACCCTCTCCATTTGGGGTGCCCATGTCTCTTTCGATATTACTGTCTCCCAGAGAGCCATGTAAGGGCAGAGCCACAGGACCTGTGCTTCAGGAGTTTCAATTGAGGAGGTCTGAGCTAGCGCCTTAAAATCCATTCTTTAAAAAAAAGTTTATTTTTACTTATTTGAAAGGGAGAGCAAGAGCAAGATCTTTTCACTTGCTGGTTCACTGCCCAGATGCCCTCAATAGCTGGGGCTGGGCCAGGCAGAAACTGAGAGCCAGGGGCTCCATCTGGGTGTCCCACATGGGTGGCAAGAACCCAAATACTGGAGCCATCATCTGCTGCCCCCTAGGGTGCAGGTTAGCAGGAAGCTGCATCAGAAGGGGAGTAGCCCTGTTAGGGGACGCTGGAGTCCCAAGTGGTAGCTTAGCCAGCTGCGCCGCAAAACCAGCCCCCTTAAGTTCTATGTTAAGCAAGTCCCCAGGCGAGTGTTGCAAGCCCTCCTGTTGAAAGGCGCTGGCTTCTGTGTGTTCAGGGACCCTCCTGATGGGGCGGCCTTGTAGCCCTGTCATTAGCCTTATCAGCGTTCAGTCCTGGTCCCGTCTATTCTTTTCTTATACTTTTTGTTGGTTTATGTGTTTGTGTGATTTTTTTTACTGTAGTATCCGGAAGCAAGTTCTAAATATTTTATCATTTGACTGGCATAGTCCTCATTGTTTGTCTCTAACATATTATCGGGTTATTATACCCAATAAAATCACAATTATTTTAGTGTTAAGACCCAGCCCCTGATCATTTCCTCCTGTTTTTTATTTAAAGATTTGTTTTATTTGTTTGACAGAGTTACAGAGAGAGGTAGACACACAGAGAGATAAAGAGAGAGAGAGGTCTTCCATCCACTGGTTCATTCCCCAAATGGCTGCAACGTCTGGAGTTGAGCCGATCTGAAGCCAGGAGCCAGGCACTTCTTCCAGGTTTCTTCTACTGCTTTCCCAGGCCATAGCAGAGAACTGGACCAGAAGTGCAGCAGCCAGGACTCGAACCAGCCTTGTATGGGATGCTGGCACTGCAGGCCACGGCTTTAACCTGCTCTGCCACAGCGCCACCCTCTCCCACTGATTTTTTAAAAAATGCCTTTTTATAGTTGATTTGTTTGAAACTTAAGTCTCTCTTATTCCACAGTATACCTCTTTCTCATTAAACCTCTTTTCCTCCCTCCATGCCATTTATGTGTTAAAAGGGTGTTTGCCTTGTGGGATTCCTGGCCTTCTGGATGTGGTGGAGTGGTGGTATTTAATGTCCCTGTCTGTCCTGCGTATTTCCTGAACACTGAGATGCCAGGCCTTGCTTATCTGTGGTTCAGTTACCTGCTGTCCACTGTGGTCTGCATATATTAAGTGAAAGATTCCAGAAATAGTCAATTCTTCAGTTTTAAGCTGTGCCCTGTTCTGAGTAACATGGTGAGCTCCTGCGTGTTCTGCTCTAGCCTGCTCAGATCAGAAATCGTCCCTTTTTCCAGTGTGTCCACGCTGCGTATGCTGCCCTCCTGTTAGTGACGTAGTCGCCAGCGTGGCTGTCAGATGGACAGGTGTGGTCTCACAGTACTTGTGTTCAAGTTGTTTCTTTACTTGATTGTACCCCATAGCACGAGAAAAGTGAGAGTGCAGTTCAGGTATGCCAAAGAGAAGCCGAGAAAAAGCTTCAAGGAGTAGAGTGGAAGACTGACTTAATAAGGAAAGAAAAAAATTGTGGGCTGACATTGTTATGATCTGTGGTAAGAATGAATCTTCTACCTGTGAAGTTGGAAAGAAGAAAACAGGAATCGGTGCTGGTTTTCTTATTGTTCCTCAAACTGAAGTTATGGCCACAATGCCTGGTAACTGCTTAGTTAAGATGGAAAAGGCATTAAATTACTGGGTTCAGGGTGTCTGTGGTTTCAGGCATCCTGCACGGGCTTGGAATGTATCCCCAGGGGGATGGGCTGAGACTTTTGTGGTTTGCTTGGACACTTGATTAGATTCAAGATATTTGTGTGTGTGTGTGTGTCTGTGAAATTTTTTTTTGAGGGGGGTGAAGGCAGGAATTCTTCCCAGGTGGTATTGTGGACTTCTTGCATTGTCCCAGGAGACATATATGAAGGCAGTTCAAAAAGTTCATGGAAATGGAGCCAAAAGATGCATTTATTGTGGTACAACAAATTGATACTCATGCATAACTTTTTTCATACTATGTGCTTCTTGAATTTCTTTTTAAAGATTTATTTATTTGAAAGGTAGACTAAGAGAGAGAGAGAGAGAGAGAGATATCTACTGATTCACTCCTCAAATGATCTCAATGGCCAGAGCTGGGCCAGGCTGGATCCAGGAGCCAGGAACTTCCTGCAAGTCTCCCATGTGGGTGCCAGGGTTTGGGAAGCCCCTTGGATTACCAGCTGCTAAGCTTTTCAGTGGTGTTAAAATTGATGAGTGGATGGTCTTTGTACTTCTTATGTGTTGAGTTCTTCAGTACAGCGTTAAGCTTTTGACTATAATATGAACAAAAAATGTTATATCAAAAATAAAAACAAGGAGCCAGTGCTGTGGTGCAGTGGGTTAGAGCCCCAGCCTGCAGCGCCAGCATCCCATATGGGCGCCAGTTCAAGTCCTGGCTGCTCCACTTCTGATACAGCTCTCTGCTATGGCCTGGGAAATCAGCAGAGAATGGCTCAAGTCCTTAGGCTCTGCACCCACATAGGAGATCTGGAGGAAGCTCCTGGTTCCTGGCTTCGGATTGGCACAGCTCTGGCCATTGCTACCAATTGGGGAGTGAACCAACAGATGGAGGACCCCTCTCTCTCTCTCTTTCTCTCGCTCTCTCTCTGCCTCTCCTTCTCTCTGTGCAACTCTGACTTGCAAGTAAATAAAATAAATCTTTACAAAAAAAAAAAAAAAGAAAACAGAATTTTAAAAGGTAGACAGGTGGCTTTGGCTGTCATCTGCCTGCTCCCTCCCTCACGAAGTTCCGCCTCCAGTTTTCATCTGGTGATTTTGGCAGCCTGGCTGAGCCTGCCTAGACCTAACCCTTCACCAAGAGTGGGGAGTTAGGAAATAGCGAACGTCTGGTTCCATCACCAAAGGAGACCTCGCTGGGACGTCGGAGCTCCTGGGCCCTGTGTGAACTCCCCGGGCCCGTGTCCTGCAGCCCAGCTTCCATTCCAACCCTCACCCCAGCCAGAGTCCCACATTGTGGAAAGTGGGTGGCTCCCTGCTTCCCTACTCCCAACCTAGATGTGGCTGGTGAGCTTAGGGCCAGCGAATGTGAACCTGCCATCTTCTCTGTAGGACATCCGTGGTGGCAGTGGCAGCCGATCACTCTGGCCTCCAAGCAGAGCAGTGTGGCAGGCTCCCGCACACGGTGACAACTTGGCGCTGTGTCCCCTGTGCTCTGTGCTCTAATTCTGCACCATCCACTCTGGTGGCCACTGGCCACACACAGCCCCCAGGATTTCAGTTGTGACTGGTCCAATCAGTATGTGCTGTAATGTAAAATACACACCAGATCTTGAAGACTTTGTGTAGAAAATGAATGCAGGATGTCATATTATTTGTTTGCATTGAGTCAACATTTAAAATGATATTTTATGTCTATTGGGTTAAGTAAAATATGTAATTAGTTTCTTCTTTTTTTAAAAAGATTTTATTTATTTACTTGAAAGTCAGAGTTACAGAGAGGCACAGAGAGAGAGAGAGAGAGAGAGAGAGAGAGAGAAAGTCCTCCATCTACTGGTTTACTCCCCAAATGGCTGCAACAGCCAGAGCTGAGCCATTCTGAAGCTAGGAATCAGAAACGTCTTCAGGGTCTCCCACACAGGTACGGGGCCCAAGGACTTGGGCCATCTTCCACTGATTTCCCAGGCCACAGCAGAGAGCTGGATCAGAAATGGGAGCAACCAGGACCACAACCACAGCACCTATATGGGATGTCAGCACTGCAGGCGGCGGCTTTACCCACTATGCCCTGGCCTCTCACCTGTCTCTTTTTAAAATCATATGGAGGCCAGCATGTGGTCTACTGGTTAAGATGCCTGTGTCCTGTATCAGAGTGTCTGGGTTTGATCCCCGACTCCAGCTTCCTGCTGATGCTCACTCTGAAGACAACAGCAATAGCTGAAGTAGTAGGGTCTCTGCCGCCCATGTGTTAGTCCTGGATTCTGTTCCCAGCTTCTGGCCCACGTGGGAGACCTGGACTAACTCCACGCCTTGGCTCTTGTGGGCATTAGGGAGTGAACCAGTGGATGGGAGATCTCTCCCTGGCTGTCTCT